CATATATATATATGCCATGTACTCAAGGGTTGAGACAATAAAATCCAGATTCATCTTTTATAAGTGAAACCCCTTTTTTGTTACTATAAGTATGTGTTGGTAAAGAACATAGTGACTGGGCTGCTGCCTTGGTTTGTATCAAGTAGTTAGCAGTTTCACCTCCACTGCTTTTGCATGATGAGTGCAAAAGTTAACACACTGAAAGAGGCAAATAACATCTTTGTATTATAAAAATACTTCTGAGGGTTGGGCATGGGGGGGGCACATCTATAATCCAGCACTTGAGAGGCTGAGGCAGGAGGATCACCTCAAGTTCAAAGCCAGCCTGGGCTACATAGCAAGAGCTTGTGTCAAAAAAACCTAAATCAATTAATTAAATTAGAAAATAAAAATACTTTTGATTAAGACCCCCTGCAAAGTTTCTGGGAAGCCGGGCATGGTGGCACACACCTGTAGTCCCAGCATTTGGGAGGCTGAGGCAGGAGGATTGCCAAGAGTTTGAGGCCAGCCTAACTTACACAGCGAGACCCTGTCTCAAAAAATAAAATAAAAATACAATAAAATAACAATTTAAAAACAAAAAAGAGGGGCTGGGGATTTAGCTCAGCGGCACAGCACCTGCCTGGCAAGCGGGAGGTTGTGAGTTAGATTCCTGGAATGGGGGGGTGGTGTATAGCTCAGCACCACATGCACCTGCCTGGCAAGCATAAGGTCCTGAGTTCAATTCCTGGTACAAAAAAAAAAATGTTCTGCGAACTCCAGCAGTCTGGACCACTTTGTGAACTGCTCTTAGATCCTTATAGCCTCACACCAGGCTTAATACTGGAGATTTGAGAACAGAAGGGTGTGCAACAGTCATTTTGGACACAGAAGTGAACTAAGGAACTGCAGTAGGATTGCTGAGCCTTGGAGATTTCAGACTCAGAAAATGAAATCTGCATTTCTTTTTTTTCAGCCTCCCTTTTCTTTTTCCTTTTTGGGACAGGCTTTCACTATGCAGTTCAGGGTGCCCTTCAACTCACTTTGTAGCCCAGGCTGGCCAGCAATCCTCCTGCCTCAGCCTCCCAAGTGCTAGGATTACAGGTGTGTACCACCACACCTGTTTTCTTTCAGCTCTTGTAAAAAGAAAAGCAATCACTTTTTTTTTTCTTAAGTACTAGGGATTTACCCAGGACTTCATACTCAGCTACATCCACAGCCCTTTTTCACTTGGAGACAGGATCGCTAAACCACTAAATTGCCCAGGCTGGGTTTGAGTCCTCCTGCCTCAGCCTCCCAGTGTGCTGGGATTACAGAACTGTACCACCACACCCAGCTTTCAACCCAATATTAATTTTTTTTTTTTTTTTGGTCTTTTTGAGACAGGGTCTCACTATGCAGTTCAGTCTGGCCTAAAACTAGCAAGGACCCTCCTGCCTCAGCCTCCCGAGTGCTGGGATTACAGGCGTGTGCCACCAAGCCCAGCTACAACCGAATATTAAATTGTTGATGCTTCACAGACTGTACTCCATCTCATATTATGTATGGTGAGCTGTTATGCAAGGTTGTAAGTTCCTCAAATACAGAAACATTTCTTCCTCTTAGAAACACAGAATGCTCCCCTCCTTGCCACATACTCTAAGTCTCTGAGTCTATATCCTGCTCCTAGACATAGTCGTGTGGCATGGGTATACCATCTCCTGTATTAAACCATGGTATATTTTGAGCAATAGGAACTTCGCTTGCCTTTCCCATTTGTCTCTTAAATACCGTGTTTTCAAATTCTAACTATTATTTTTACAGAACTGTTAACAAAATGAAGTTGATTCAATTAGTGCTATATAATGCTATACATACGTACAGCAGGGTCCTTGTCCTCTTCCCCCCCAGCTGCTCCTTTTTCTTTCTTTCTTTTTCTTTTTTGAGACAAGGTTTCACTATACAGTTCAGGGTGGCCTTGAACTTACTTTGTACCCTAGGCTGGCCTCAAACTCACAGCAGTCCTCCTGCCTCAGCTCCCAATTGTTGGGATTACAGGCATGTGCCACCAGGCCCGGGAGGGTCTTTTTTCTTAAGGTGTTTACTCCTAAAATCAAACGTGTCTTATTATCAACATAAAAATAAATGTGTCAATATTGTCAGAAGAGGTATAAAAAATAGCTTCTAAGGCAGCTGGAGGAAGGACTTGAGGTAGCGTCAGGTGACCACCCTATTGATAAATGGACAGTGAACTAGGACTTTGGACCAAGAATGAACTTCCTCAGGCAGTATGGAATGCAGCCCCACCCTGCTAAAGGGAAGTGTAGCCACTCCCTACTAAACTCTTTTGAGTTCTGAGGAATTTTAAATGCAAAATTAAACAGGGCTTTTTTTCTCTAAAGTCCCAGTTTGCTTTAAATCCTATATGCTGAAGAACTGGGTTAGAGGCCTGAGTTTCGTTTCTTTTTTTTTTTTTTTTTTTTTTTTTTTTTTTTTTTTTTTTTTTTTTTTGAGACAGGGTCTTGCTATGCAGGTCAGGCCGGCCTTGAGCTCACTTTGTAGCTCAGGCTGGTCTCGAACTCACGACGATCCTCCTACCTCAGCCTCCCAAATGCTGGGATTACAGGCGTGCGCCACCACGCCCGGCTCAGAAACCTGAGTTTCAGTTGGTCATTTTTAATCCACAGAGCCAGCTGTTGAAATAGGTGGCCACTAACCAACTGGGAAATTCCTGAGCTCTGCTTATCCCTAACTAGCTAGAGCTGGGGGCGGCATTGGGGATCCCCTCCAGGAAATCCAGGAGCCAGTCTTATTATTTCCAATAAAGCTCTCCTAACCTCCTCCTTTGGTTTGCTACTTCATTCTTTTACGTTATGAGACCACAAACTCGGTAGATACGGAAACACTAATGCAGTAATATTTACAGCAGCGGAGACCAGCACTGAGATGAGGGATGGAGCTCCCGGGACATAGGGAGACACGCCTGTAATCCCAGCTACTTGGAAGGCTGAGGCTGGAGGATCACTAATCCCAAGTTAGCCTGCACAATTTATCAGGACCCTGCCTCAATAAAGAGGGGGACAAGGTGGGACATGCATGTATCCCTCCTCAGTAAGGAAGGCTGAGGAGGATGGAATGTTTGAGTCCCGCCTGGGCAATTTACCAAGACCCTAAGTCAAAATACTAATATTAATGATGTGATGACGATGCCGGCATGGTTGTGCCTCTCTGTAACATCAGCACTCTGGCAGGATGAGGTAGAAAGATGGAAAGCTGGCGCCCAGCCTAGGCAACTCAGCGACTTAGTGAGGAAATGTAGCTCAGGAACTAGGGGGCAGCACGGAAAAACTTAGCCAGGAAATGTAGCTCAGTGAAGGCCTGGGTTCAAGCCCCAGCATCGGAAAAAAGAAAAGCGGCAGCAGCAGTAGCTGGGCCTGGTTGACACACGCCTGTGATCCAGGACTCTGGGAGGCACAGGCAGGTCAATCGCAAATTCGACTTGCCCTTGAGGAATCTGGAGACTGTCTCAACATAAAAAAATAAGGCTGTGGATGCAGTCAGTGCGAAGGCCCTGGGTCCTATCTCCAGTTCCAATAAAACACTCAAGGCGGAGTGGGGGACTGAGGCTCCCTGGGTTCAATCCTCAGTACCAGAAAAAGGGGGAGGCAGCTTTGCAAAATTTTGCTTAGTTTATTCAAAAAAATTTTTTTGTCTTTCTCAGACAAGATTTCGCTATGCACTTCAGGCTGGCCTTGAACTCACTTTGTAGCCGAGGCTGGCCTCGAACTCACAGAGATCCTCCTGGCTCAGCCTCCAGAGTGCTGGGATTACAGGCGTGCGCCACCACCGCCACCACGCCCGGCTCCCATTCAAATATTAATGGTTCGCTACGGCGGTCCACGGAGGAGTTTCCCATTCCAGACAGGGTTAGCTAACAGGCCTGGGCTCCAGACGCACAAATTAACCGCTGGTCCCCAATGTGTCCTTTGGTGTCCCCAGTCCTCCAGCCCTGCTCCCTAGTCACCACACAACTCCCCCGCCCCTCCCCCCCTCTGGGTGGTGCAACGGTTCGCAATGGTTTGTCTCTAAGAGACGGAACCAGACGCTTGAGACTCAGAACCCGGGACGGCCCGGCGCGCAGAACGCGGAGACTGCGCAGCAGCGCCGGCCGAGCGCCCCGCGAGCCCGGCCGGCGCCCGCAGTGGCCGTTTCGTAACCGCGGCGAGGCCGGAAGCGCCGCCCGCCCCGCCCCTCGGTGCCGTGCGCAGCTCCCCCGGAGCTTCCGCTCTGTTCCCTTTTATGGGAGGAAACATTTGTTTTGTCAGTTCTCTGACGCCACCGCCGCGGCCTGGCCCTAGAGCCGGGTCCTAGGGGAGCCTCTCCCAGTCGCTACTTCCGCTTCCTTCCAGCGAGGACCCCGGGCCTCCCGGTT